TCACAACTTCACTCTCTTTGGATATGGCGCACTCAAACTTTGGCATTATGTAGAAGGCAATGTGAGCTACAAGTTAGCACAAATTGTCTAAATTTTGAACACCAAATAGAAAAGGCATTTTTCGAAAACTAGTGAAATTTGAGAATTTTGGGGGTTTCAAGGTAAAATGAAGCCTTTAGCAGCCTAGACCATGCGCAGTAATCCGAATTCGTCTACAAATTATTGCTGGAGGTTGAATCCTTTGGCCTAGTAGGAAAGAAACAAAATTTAGGGGCAGTCGAGATTTGGCGTCCTCATAAATTCGAACGAGTCGATGTACGCAAAAGCTGATGGGGACGACCGTCAATGACTAAAGAGTCCGAAGCTCAAATTTTGCCGACCATTACATACTAAGGTTATTTGACCTGCCAAACGCGAATATCACATTCATTTGTTGATTCAACGCCTTTTTCTTGTTTATGGTGAGACCCCATATCGTACACCTACAGTAATCCTACAAAAAGCCCTTATCACGCAATTTCACTATCGTTTTCGTGATCAGCATGTCGGATAACACCCCTGTGCCAAGTTTCAGCCAAATCCGTCAAACTTTGAATTTTTCCCCTTCATACCATGCACCTACCGTAACCCTCACTGCGAAGTCAGAATTTGGTAGGACCGCAGCTGCGCTTGTAGCTTGCGTAATAACCAACGCAGTGGCAAAATTTGAGTACGCCATGTTGAGTGAGGGGAAGTTATGAGAGCAGTTGCAAAACTTAGTTTCCAACCTAATATTTACATATTATATTATATATATTGCTATATTTTGAAGTCTCAATAGAAGCTGATTAGAATCCTTAAACCACTGAGCAACGAACATTTTTGGAGCGCACTATAACTAAAGGTAACTTGAGCTATCAAAAAGGGTAATGCTCTTTTCTTCCAACTGCAGTGGGTTTAGCGTAAAGCTAATTTCTGAAACTTTCAAAAAAATTCGAGTGCTAAAGGTTGCCGTACCTTGATTGAATAAGAAACTTTGTGAGATTTGGCGTATTCCGTTTTCGACTATACTCTTTCACAAACCATCAAAAATTTTTTTTGAGTTTCTTTTAGGACCGGAACTCAAAAAATAGGGATTATTCGTATAATCATGGACCGCACTTTAACACACGTACTCCCAAAGCAGTCGCAAATATACGCCCTCCTAGGTGCCTTAGTCCTTTAGCAAATGAAACTCAGCATCCATGTCGAAAACAACTTGGTACACACTAAAATTACACGAGGAAAACCTCGGTAAGATCTGGTCCAAAAAGGAGTGCCTGCAGCACGACTAGGGGGACAATCGGTGTTAAGTTCCGAATTTTGGTAGAACGTCGAGCGGTGACACACTTCGTAATCAGAGTTTTTTGGTAAATGACATCTAGCTTGGCGCGAGTCACACTGTGATGATAGCAACAGATTAGATTGATATTTACCTTTATCAGCTGTTTAGCACGATTTACAACCCTTTATTCTATTTGTGCTTTTGATCTCTTAAAGTTACCAAAAACATCTGTCTACACAAAAGGACGGTACCCCATACCAATACTGTGCAAGTACCCTACTCCATGTTATCTTACTGGTGATGGCAAAAAGAGCCTGTAGATTCCGCCAGATCTGCCAAATTTGTATAAAAAGCCCGAAAGTGCCGAGGAAGCCAGAAGTGCTGAAATTCTCTTCACGCTCACCTTTCGGCGCGAGTTCAGCTCCTTGTTTGATACAGGATTTTTTCGGGCCTCAAATATGGGTCCCAAACACGCAGTCCGCAGGGCCGACCTCGAATGCCGCTTCAGTGCTATGCTGTACTCTCAACAACCCCCTACTTCATATTTTTTCATTCAAAATCAATTTTGCGACCACAATACTCGTGGCATCATACGAAAATAGAACAAAGATTGTACACGCAGGAAACTTGATCGGCCTTCTGATAGACTAATTTAACGGAAAAAAATGGCGTTCTTATGAAGCTAGTGAGTCATAATTCGGCAGTTGCTTGACACAATGTGATATATCAATAACGTATGGCAAGTATTTGTGCTGAAGAAGCAAAAATTGCAAATATATATATAAAGTACGATAACGACCTATTATTTGGCCACTTTTATAATATAATGGCTGAGGACCTAAGTTTCTATACTGCTGAAATATTTTTGAAAATTTCGCAAAAATTGCCCCATACTTCTGCTTGCTACTCAAGTACTCAATTATTTTTTGACAACCATCTGAACATCAGTGGTGATATCAGTTTCTGCCATGTATCGATTGATCTCGTCATACTCTTATCTACATAACGGTGGATCTATGCATCATTCTTGTGAAGAATTCACTGAAATTGAATCATACATACTGCTTGATAAGACTCCCGTTCTTTTCACCAAAGAAGCTTATCTCCTTTGTAACATACTTTTTAGGGAGAGGGGGGGGGGGGAGCCATACTATGGAGTATGTAGCAATTGTGATCTAAGGTCAAGCACCTTTTTTTAAGAAAAACAAGCGCACGATGGAAGCAGATGCCGATCCGCGAATCGCAATCGCACTGTTGAGCTTGCAAAAAAGTCTTTCAATTCATTTTCACTAAAAAAAGAACGATTCTTTGTAGGAAAAACAATTTTTAAGATTTTACTGAACATTTGTACCTCTTAACTATAACAAAACTGCACCAACTTCATCGCGACGCCAGCTGCTCAAAACTCCAATTTCTTTGCACATTAATTTTCCACTAGAGCAACTGTACATTATGGGGGGGAGGGGCTCGTTACGTGCGGGCTGCCAAATGGAAAAGTCACAACGCGGCGTTACAGTAACTGTGCGCGGGGAGCAGCAGATACCACTAGATTATCAATGCTTCTTCTATATTGTTAGTCTTTAACCTTCTTCGATTTGTGTCTTTTTTGTCCTTTAAAGAGCTCACTTTACAACCTTTTGTGGAACTCCAAAAAAATTAAGTAAAACTAATATGAGAATAGTCTGTGAAAAAATTGAGCAAAACTAATATGAGAATAGTCTGTGAACCTCAACAAAGGGTGAGAAACTGAAAGACTATGTCCTGCGGATCATGCTGTCTGAAATCCCCGAGTGCGGTCACTGGCAGCCTGTCGCGCGCGACGTTTTCCCATTGGCAGCGCGCACGTAACGATACGCCCCCTATTATAGGTGCTGATTTACGTGATTTCTTAGAATATTTCTACGAGAATACGAAATCGTTGAAAAGTGCAGCCAAAAACAAATCAAATGTGTGCGTCACTTACATAACTCTGTCAATATCTCAGAAACTACACATTCCGTCGTGCTTATGAATTACTAGCTGCATACCTGGCTTCGCCTGTGTCAATACATAAATGCTTAGAAAATCTACGAAATCGATAAAGGCAATTGATGTCCTAGAATCATACTGTATTTCTGATCCAATTCCTAGCTCCGTAGCTCAAACATTGCAAAAATCGATAAAATCGATATCGATCGATAACAAGAAGCAGCCTACGAAACTCGCCCGCCCTGAAGTGTCTTTACAGTAGTTTTCAATTCTGAGTCTTACATTCGCGTTACTAAGGTCGCGAGCCGCCCCGCCGCCGCTTTGACGCGTTCGCGAAAGTGTTTCAGAAGCGTTCCCAAGCTCGTCAACCATTAATGCTTATAGATACAGTATTTTCCCACGCCTCAAGCATGGGGAAATACCTATCCGTGGAGGTCAAACATGGCGAGAGACGCAAGCAAGGCGGCTTGTATAAGGCGCCTATCGTGACATTTAGAATGAAAGCCCCTGTATGCAAAATTTGGCCCGGATGAGTCCAAAAATAGACATGCTACACATACATACCAAAAATAAACATTTAACTCTACAAATTAAATCACTTATTTAGTTTCTTAATTGAAATCTTCGCCTTCATGTGACAAGCTATAGGCAGCATTTTTGCTTGGGTCTGTTGTAAAAACTGACATAAAATAGTATAAGCGTCTTTGTTTACGTACTACTACATGATTGCTCAACTGAGCTCAAATATGGTCTTGACTATAACATAACTAAATGGAAATCTAAAAGGTTTGAATCTTTAGAATTTATCTTCTAAACAAATATTGCTGTCGTCGTCATCTGACTCAGTTCACTTGAAAAAATAAAAGTACGCTTTTGTGTTGATAATGGTTTCCAAAGATTTTGTACTTGGAAAAAAAAATCCAAAAGGCTTATAACTACACAGACGGCGATTTCTTTCAACTGCAATTTCAGCAACTTCTACGCATAATGAAAACATTTCATAAGCGTATAAGTAAAAAGAAAACTTTTGAAATCACCCAACATATTCTAGGCACTAAGCACACCATTTTATCTCCTATCATCCTTAATGCATTGTCAGGGCACAAGTGGTCCCTCAGACTCCAAAAAGAGAGAACTGCGTAAAAAAATGATGCGTTATCTTAAAGGGAAAGTTCCCAAGTCAGCTCGGCCAACCCGGATGAGTCATATATCACCGTAACGGGCTTGAAACGCTGATTCCAAACCTGCTTTCCTTTTCTGCGGAGCGACTTTCCGAGAGAAGTTATGAGCGTTTAAATGTCTAAATTTGTCATGTTCAAAGTGGCTTAAAATCACTTGAAACCTGTAAAACAACACCTAACGAAATTTCATTATCTGTATTCCGTCCTTGTAATCAATATACTTGATACAAAACTGATAAATCACTTTCATGTGTTATTGTACAGGTTTCGCCAACTTTAAGCCGCTTAAATCATGACAAATTTGGATTTTTAAACGCTTATAACTTCTCTCGGAAATTCGCTCCACAGAAAAGAAAGGCAGATTTGGAATCAGCGTTTCAAGCCCGTTACGGTGATATATGACTCATCCGGGTTGGCCGAGCTGACTTGGGAACTCTCCCTCGTTAGCCCTTCTGGGGCGACACTCATCTTTGAATCTTTACTTCCTTGTTGCACCAGTTGCGGTAAAAGATCACTATAATGATTTTGTTTCAGCCTGTATTACAGTAATGGTTCGAAAATCCCCATCTTTATCATATCACTTTGTTGGAATTTTGGACGCTCTAGATTATTTATATTTTGGAGCAGTAGAAACTGTAGGTAAACTACTGATCACAACAGCTGTTTAGTGATAATGCTTCAAATATTTTAGAAGAGTGTAAATTACGACTGGGAAAGCGTTTATTCATGACTCTTGTTGCTGCTGTGATAATCATAGCACTCGCTATACTCATTGCCATTATTGTCAGTATTATTAAATCAAATTCGAATTCAGAATCAGGTAAGCGAGTAGGCATCCCACACATGTTGTAACATGTCTGCTACATTCTTCCTTTGATTACCCGAACACAATTTTGTAATGGAAGAAAGCTTTGAAATTACGAACTTTTGATTTTCTAATTTACCGCATTCCACCTGCAGTGCAAGCACACTATATTAAGCGAAAAATCTACCCGACTTTATCGCAAGTTGCGCATCAGGTTGAATTACAGTCTGCGTCAATGAGTATTTGTCTTTTCTACCATATGCCGACATTCACGCTTCAGCTCTGCATACGGGAGAAAAGACTTACAGGGCTCCTTAATTGCAGAGTCGTTTGCACCAGCGGTCGCGCCGCGCCCGGGCATCAATGGCGCCGCCTCGATCGATGGCGGCGGCGGCGGCAAAATGCACGGGCGCGACGCGCTCGCGCGACCGCTGGTGCAAACGACTCTGCAATTTAGGAGCCCTGTATACGCATTGGCTGTAAACTTGGCTGCAACAAAGTATATTCATTCCGCGTTGCAAAGGGTACGAAACATTGCGAACAGCACATAAATCTCAAATCCCAACCCTGTCCAATACTGCCTCTGAGGGGACATCCACAGTAAGAAAACGAAAGTAGATAATTTTTTAGTGAAGAAAGACTTTTTTTAAGTCATAGTAGCATCTCCTTGAAGCGTAGCTCACAATGGGTCAAGAAAGAGATGATACATCATCATTACAGGAAAATTAAACGAAAAGTCAACAACACTGGCACCCACAGAAACGCACCCTGTCTCTTCTATCATCACATCCTTAGCGTCTTCTGCACCTACTAAAGCCACCAGCAACTCCACGACTAGGCCGCCAAGCTGTAAGTCCTACTTATTCATTACTCACTAATTAATAATTATTGATTGGCTGTTACTTACTAATTCTACTCAATTGCGAAATAGATACAGTGCCGCTTGGCTCGCTATAAAAAATAACGCCTTTGGTGAAATTGCTAATGTCTCGATGAAAGCAGACATAAGTAATTTCTTGGCAGAAGTTAGCCCATTTTTGATGGTGGCATTTGCATAACCAATTCTTATTTTGGTAATAGTAACTTTGCACATAATAATTCGATAAAAACTTCGGAAAGTTATAAGATTATGCGCACTTGCTTAATTGTACATAAGTTTGCACCTGAGTAAGCGAAGCACTGTTAGCAGTTCCGAAGTGATGATGTTTTTGCCAAAATTTTGGTGCAAATGGTACGGACGCAATCGCGCGGAGAGCACGAATATTTTAATAGTTCAAAAACTGATAAATTCAATAAATGAAGATAAAAGTGTTTCTGCTAAGCAGAGCTTTTTGAAAGTTAGCTGGTACAGTTTTGGCACAGCGCCAGCACAGGTGACTGTTTTCGCTGTCGAGGGGGAAAGTTTTCTTGTAATGCTGCGTGTGCAACACTTCAAGAGTATAGTAAAAAAACTTCTTAAAAAGCATATATGAGAATAAAGATGGGTTAAGGTAGCTTTAATACAAGTATGGCTCCTGAATGAGAGTCATGGCAAATAAGTCCTACGAATGCCTTCTATATTAATTTATTTATTCATGATTAGACTTACAGTGTACCGAGAAAAAAAAGGAGGAGTCTCTATAAACTATAGGAGTATAGATAATTATCTATTAGGTTGATTCATAATTAATGCACGTTTTGAATTTCAACCGCAATAAGTCATACACTTTTCATTCTTACATAGGCTTCTAATTACCATTGGATAGAGCAAAGCAAGCTCTACAAGATGGCACTCATATCTTTGCGCCAAGCCCAATCCACGGAGAGTTCGAACTCAAAATCTAAAGATTTCCAAATGCCCAAAAAATCGAAAAAAATCAGATCTTCGTCCAAATAATTTCTACGGACCTCCCACTCGCTCACATCAATACTATCGATATCTGATATCCATATGTGCGATTGCCGTATTTTTTCCTTGACTAGAAATTGAGAAAACGAGAATTTCCCTGATTTTCTCAAAGCAATGCTGAGCCGTTTTTGCATATGTAGTTCTATACTACAAGCCTAGGCAAGCATAACTGTAGGTTTTCAGCCTATTTCGAATGGTACTTTTCGAGAAATGTCGATTTTAGCACTGAAACTGAAACGAAAAAATCCAAATTCGTTATTTTTCGAAAACTACCGCTTGGAATGGGCTGAAAATCTACAGTTATACTTATCTAGGCTTGTAGTATAGAACTACATATGCAAAAACGGCTCAGCATTGCTTTGAGAAAATCAGGGAAATTTTCGTTATCTCAGTTTCTAACCAAGGGAAAAATACGGCAATCGCACATATGGATATCAGATAGCGATAGTATTGATGTGAGCGAGTGGGAGGTTCGTAGAAATTATTTGGACGAAGATCTGATTTTTTTCGATTTTTTGGGCATTTGGAAATCTTTAGATTTTGAGTTCGAACTCTCCGTGGATTGAGCATGGCGCAAAGACATGAGTGCCATCTTGTAGAGCTTGCTTTGCTCTATCCAATGGTACTTTGAAGCCTATATAAGAATGAAAAGTGTATGACTTACTGCGGTTGAAATTCAAAACGTGCATTAATTATGAATCAACCTAATATAAACTCTTCTTTCCGCATTGTCCCGTTTACATCTTCTAAAATGTTTGTTTGAAACTAGTTAATTAAGAAATGAGTTGAGAAAAGTTATGAAGTCTTGCCATTTTTGAAATGGAATGCAAAGCCCTGTGTTAAGTTTTTATGAATTTATTGTCGCTCCCTTTGATAGCGAGGTCAATTTCCTCTTGCGAACAAAGAGCAAGAATTTTGTTTCTCCTGCTCATTTTCTCGGTTCACATTAAAACAAAGCTCAAAATAAGACTGAGCAATTCGAGGAAATCATAGAGAAACTTGACGGCCTTGATACATGAAACTCTAACAGCTGCTTCACACCTAATAAACTTTACAAAAGGCATCCACTTCTCTAGTTGCATTTTCTCTTCAATTTTCAGCTTTGTTAATAGCTGTTCGATCATGAAAGCAAACATGCACCTATTTTTTGGCAAAACCGACAACTATTCAGCTTGATATGTACTTCTAAGGTCATCCTCTCAGTTGCAAATCTTGGTCAGATAACATTAGCAGCCAAGTTGGTTAAAAGTGGCTCAGCCTGGTAAACTGCAAGAAAGGTGAAGAGCATTTGACTCATGCTTTCCGACAAAACACAAGTCCAAATTAATTTAGATTTAGTAATATGTGATACAAATATTAACGATCTTATTGTCTAAAACACAAATACATATTTCCGCAAGAGAATTTGCGAAACATTATGAGTGATAGATTTGTGACGATCTATGCCTAAATATGGAACGAATTACATTTCCTGAACGCACTATTTCTAGCAATCTCCTAATCTCCGCGCAAAAGTTATCTTTACAATCTATGCAAATCTGTTGGGTTTGCAGTTTGAATAAGTCAGATCAGACTTAAGTAAATCACTCATCCCTTGAAAGCCTCGTTTCTTTGAGACGGTAATAGCTTGTCCTATACTGCATTGCCGGTCTGCATTTTTCATATTCGTTATGGGAGAATTTTCTTACACTGTTACTTTAAATCAGAGAATTTATGTGCTGGTTTGTCGAAAGGTGGGAACATTTAATCGTATGCCAATATAATTTACCCGAAATCATCAGCTCCTCAGGTCACAATATGAACAGCTTACATCACATCAAATATATTCATTTTCTAGAATTTCTCCTGCGGCAGAAAATTGTTGAAAGTTGAGAACGGGAATTCATCATACATATTAGGTTGTTCCAAAAGTTTTGTCGGTTTTTTTCATCGCTCACCTAAAACCCATAGAACACCAAGCCATGGGCGACTTAGGTACCAATTGACTTAGATTTTTATACTCCTTCTTACAAGTATATTTGCTCTCTGATCTACCCTGTCTTTGCAATGTTACCGCCATGGATTTTTGAGCACCTCAGCAGTAACGCCAAACATTTCTGAATTTTAGAAATTTTTATACTGAGATTCTCAAAGAGCGCTGGTGACTGTTGAGCAGAGCAAACCTTTGGCCACAATGTACTTTATCTAAATTGGGTGGGCCACGTTTATCAACTCCGTATTAATTATTTATTCAAGAAAAACCCTGGCTTTTTGATTACGTATACCATGTAAGATTGCCGGAAATTCCAAAAAGCACATTTATGAGGCAAATCAAATTCAGCTATGTTGCATAAATAACGTTCAATAACAAACAAGTTACAATTCGCAAGAACTTCAAAAGTTTCCATGTTTTTGCTGCAGTTGCGTGTTTCATGACTTTGCCAAAAATCGAGGTTTTCGACGAAATTATTTTTTGAAGCTAAAAACAGCAGATTAGGAGAATTTAAAGATATCGCCCCATAGTCCAGAAATTACTTCAATTGCGCCATACTTAAATTTCTCCGAAACCCTGGAATGAAATTTTTAAAAAATTAGCCGAACTTTGAGCAGATAACAATGACAAGAAGAATTTTAACTAAATCATGAAAAGCATACATGATTTTTACACCAGAATGTAACCACAAGAAAGAGAAGGAAAAGCTGCATCGAATGCATGTTGAGGCTCACTAAGGTCTTTTGTGCGTGGTTTTATAGTGGTTCTAAAAAACCGACAAAACTTTCGGAACAACCTGATATAATGACAATTCCAACTCTCTCCGTGACAATCGGCTCCTCATGTCAAACTATAGAACGGACCAATCACCAAGCATTTCTTTTTCTCTAGAATGTCGCTGCATTAGTGCTAAGCGCGAAAGTAAACATTTTTACGGACAATTTGCCTCGATTCAAAAGCCCCAAAGCGATCTACGAAGTCACAACAGCAAAAAACATCTCAGTTGTCTGAGGGGTAGTAGCTGAGCCTTTCATACTTGCACGAAACTTTGCCCCTACGGTTTGAGCAAAAGGAAGCAGTATGTTCTTTTGGATCCATCCGTGCGCAGGATTCTTGTAAGTATTGAAAACTCGCCTACCTTAATTTTCTTTCAGATGATGTGTACGCGCGATCTTCACCATAATCTGTTGGTAAATTACGTAATTCTGAACAGTCAATGTAATTAATGTAGTTTTCTCGTTTGTCACGCATTCTTTTGATACACATTGTATAGACCCCCCCCCCCTTGCGTTATCGCATGCCAGCACTAGAATGGGGAAACAAAATGTTTAAGATTCACAATCAAGTTCTACTCAATTTGATAAACATCGATAACTGCGACATCAACCAAAATGAAAACTGTTTCAGCTTCTGCCAATCCATCCGATGCTTCTTCTGCACCCACTAAAGCATCCAGCAGCTCCATTCAAAGCTCCGTCAAAACTACAACCCAATCACCAACAAGAAGTAAGTGCTCAACTCAGGTGAAGGGTGCAGGGCTCAGCACAGCTGGCACCGGGTCAAGCTGGATACCATTTTTAGGTCGGAAAGCAAAAGGGATATCGTTTTTACAGGGCCGAGGCGGAGAACTGCCGCAAAAATGCCGCCGGCATGCCACCGGCATGCCATTGGCAATGTCCATCAACAAACAAAGGCGTTGTTTTCAGCCAAAACGCAATAGTATGACACCAAATTTCGTGTGTGCATGCGCGTTCGTGGACCGGAACTACGGGCCAAAAAATTATGAAAACTTATGTGAATGAAAGCTGTGCCCAACTTTTTTCTGAATTAGCTGGCACCGTGCCAGCTGGGTGCCAGCTGAGCTGGCACCGACACTTTGCTCACATAAGTTTTCATACTTTTTTTACATAAAATGTATCTACACTGTAAAAGATTACATACGGAGAAGAAACAGCTTCATAATGTTCTCTTTTCAGCGTTCTATAGCAATTTGAAAACCACTCGGTCCGCTCAGCTGTCGAAAAATCGCTTTTTCTGCTTCTCAAGATGTGATTCGACCACTTAAAAGGCTCAGGAAGCTGTGAAAAGTTCTTCTATGAAATCAGAAATGCATGAAAACACTACTACATTTTTTTACATAATATAAAAATGATGACGAGTTTTCAAAACAGGTCAAAAGGGACTTCGTACGAAATTTTCAATATCAAACGGGACTTCGTTTTGAAATTTCCCTGGTGCCAGCTCGTGCCGAGCCCTGGAAGGGTGATCCAACAGGGCGAACTGAAGAATAGACTTCAAGTTTTGAAACATTTTTTGAACTTTCGTTGCCACTTTCATGCGGAAGTCACTGTTCATGGATCCTACAGAATTGTTGCGGTTTTTACCTTACACATGATCTGATCCATATGTGCGACTTAAAAAGGTTGAACTTGCAGATTCCCATTGTATGTTTGTCGGAGATATGCTGAATCTGGGTCACAATACGACTCTCTACAAAGAAGTGAGTGAGTGGATGTAGTTTTTTTACGCTTTTTTCTACATATTAGACGGATTTTGAAAATAGATAACTATCTGTACAAATAGACAAAGCACTTGATGGTTATCAAATAGATATTTTTGAAACATTTTCTTTCTTGGAAAGACGACCGGAAAATACGTATCTCAAATTTTCGGCATCATATTATTATCCATTATTCATGTTGATCATGTTTTCAACCTGTTCAATGCCAAAATCATGCAGCGGTTCCGTCAGTTTGTTATATTGAAATCTGTTTGTCCTGCGTCCAACAACCTTCACTATACAGGGTGTCCCAAAAGTGAGTACAGACTTTTGCTATCAGTAATGACTTTCCACAAAGTATTTTGTTTAGCTCATATCAGTGGAGCTGGCTTCAATTTAGAATTAAAGTATAGATTGAATCACTCAACCCGTTTTACTACTGTAGGACGACGGTAGGAACTATGAAGAGAGTTTTGAGCCATTAAGGCTATGCTTTCGCTCCAAAAGGGATACTCAACAAGCCGAAAACTTTATTCGGCTAAACTTAAGCGCTAATTATGGATACAAAATTTGCACTTACCGTAAAAGTTTTTTTGAATGAATGCCAGATAAACTGCATTAACTTTTTTATGTTTTCCAAAAACGTGATAAAAACTATTCAACTCGCTTTGAAAACTCGTGAATGATTGTTTAATGAATTCAGTATGTCCAAAAATATCTCTGCATAACTTTTAAGAATTTTTTGAAACTTTTTGAAATGACTATTTTATAATGCCGCTGCATGCTAAAACTTCCTGCCTTAAATACAGTAACGAAGAGCGCTGTGATTCGCATACTGTAAACCTAAATTGAAGGCTCCAACGAATGGTAATTGAAGCTAAGCAAGGGACTTCGAAAAGAGATAACGATCAAAAAGTGTGTACTTATTGGGACAGGACACCCTGTATATTGAACAGCCCAAAAAGAAGCTGCCAATACTAAATAAGACTAAGCAGTAGTGTTTAAATGGTTTTTAGGAGAAAAATATGATCAGTATGGTCGCTGGCATGTTGCTCCCTCTAGGACAAAACTACCACACTGCTAGGATGTGGAGCTATGGCCACGTCGAACACTCCGACACCTTTTCAAAAGCCTTCCACACATTCACCAAGGATTGGTCTGAATTCAGCGGCATGTTAATAAACAAGATGAAGTTTTCTTTAAAGGTATATCCACAAGGTGGAAACAAAGAGTACGTGATTCCCTTCAAATTCACTGCAGAATCTGAAGCTATTTAAATTTAGCGTCTTTACCCTGATTAATAACACTACGGACCCCAGAAACAAGGCAAACTGCTTGGTTTTTTTATCTGCCATGTGAGTATCATCGTCAAATTACAATTTCTTACGAGAAAGGAGACACAAGCAGTATTTCCAACATGTAAAGCAAAAATATCCGTAGTTGAAGTTGAAGTGAACTGCGGTCAGCTAGTACAAGCTCCCCCAGATTTTTAGCTTGAAATTTGAGGAATTGAAATATGCCGGGGAAATTTCGAGATTTATTCGAGTCTTTTGACTTGATCAAGATCATACGTCGCAGTTCCTTAAGACAGATATACCTGGAGTAACACAAAGTCGATATTTTTTTATTTTCCTGATAAAACACATCAAAAGACAAAATGGAATAGAACTGAGAGTCCGAGACTAAGAGTATCTTAAGGAATATTTTTTTTGCTTTTTAGGGAAAAGACTGCAAACCAGTAATTTATAGCATTGCCTACAGATTTTCGTGTACCTGAGCCGTCTGTAGAATACATCAATACCTGTCATATCGCATTCATACAAGCTTACAGGATTTCTTGTCTTTTGATTGTTTAACCAAGTGAGACTCATTGCAGGACAGACGTGAAAGATTATAAAATTGTACCAGATTACCATTACGAAAGAATCGTCGTTGTTAACATGGCAGGTAAGCTCTTGCTGTCTCAAATATTTTTATACTGTGAACTAAAGCAGTAGTTGCGCCTGAAAATTCTCGCCGTGTGTATCAAATCGCTAGGATTTTTAAGGTGGCAACTTCAGCGGAATTGTGGAAGAAAGTCAAGGGATTGTTGTCGAGGTCTCTCAACCATATGATAAAGTAGAGGAGAATGCTAAAAAAATTCACGATGCAATACGGAAAGGTTTTCATTCGTAGTAAAGTTATTCACATAACAGCTTGTTGAGCCAAACATTTTATGTGGGGACATGCCAAGTAAAAGCAGCCCAAATCAATTATATGCATTGAGTAGGCGCATCAACTATAGCGATACGGAAAGGTTTTCAATCGTAATAAAGTTACTCATGTAATAGATTGTTGAGCCAAATATTCATGTGAGAGTAAAAGCGGCTCAAAATGATACGAGTGAGTAAGCCGCATCCATTGTAAGCAAAATCAAGTAGCTCTCAAATTTCGTAGAGCCCTCCTAGCCCATGAGAACGTAATTTACTGTATGAAAAATTTACCAATATAGTACCTGGTGTGGTTCCTATACCCGAACTGCAAGCAAATCACAAGATACATTTCTCTTGCGCTTCCGACCTATGACACCTATGACCATATCTCTGGATGACCTCTCATGAAAGCGCCAACTATCGAAAAGGAAACCAAGAATTCGTGGTCTACGAGTCTTTCATTTGAGTGCCACAGCTTCAGACAATAAAGCTGCAATGTACCCTCTCATGTGTCGGGTTTGCAACATAATAATGTTCGTTGCTTATAATGTCAAAAAACAGTGTAGGTAGAAGAAATAACTAGACGCATATTTGGTGGAGGAAAGCAGGCCTTGCAAGATGACCGCCGCATGCACCTGAACAATGAGCTACAGAAAGGAAGTCGAAATTGATGAGCATCTGATCTGCTGTGGATGCTTGCCTTTTGAATGTTCACATCACTTGATTGATCAACCTTGTAGCACATACAAACATTTCTGCACTTGGTTCATATCGTGGATGCTTAAGGCCAAAATTTAGAAAGAGTTCAATAAAATTTAAAAACTTAAACTTTCACATTACAGGCTAATCATATTGGCTTATTAGCAAATTGAAAATCACATTTTTTTGTTATTTTATTGCTTGTGCCAGATATACTATTCCGCTTTTGCTTCACTACTTTTCGGATTTCTTCTAGGTTTTTCTCAAAACGCTACTTTAGAATGGCGCCATACGCTTCAAGTCCCTAATATAGAGTAAGAAAAAACATAGAGACTGCTCGTACCGTGACACGGGGTTGAAGTTGGTTCTACACTGATAATGTAAGAGGAGCGAAAAACAATCGAGAAAAAGACTTCTCAACAATTAGGAGACATCTTTTGGGACACCCTTTCAACTTTCGAGTCAGCTTTCTCGGCAATTTATTCGAAAGAATTTGACTATATAAACGGCCGCTTGTCTAGCCTCTGGCTTGCTTCTTCTGGAATCCCTGATTTTGCTCTACATTTCATGTTTTTCTGCTAAAGCTTAGTGCTAATTTATATATTAGGTTGGAAACTAAGTTCAACTCATTGCAACTCATTCAATAACTTCCCTTTCTCTCAACATGGCACACTCAAATTTTGCCTTTATGTAGGTTATGACGCAAGCAACAAGAGCAGCAGCTGTTCTCAGTGAGGATACCTAGGTGCATGGTATAAGGGGAAAGGTTATAATTGACAGATTTGGCTGAAGTTGGCATAGGGGGGAGGTAATCGAACATGCTGATCACGAAAAAGATACCGAAGTTGCGTAATAAAGGCTTTTGTAAGAATACTGTAGGCTTACGATACAGGGCCTAACTTCAAACAAGGAAAGATGCGTTGATTTAACAAATGAATATGATATTCGTGCCTGGCAGGTCAGATAACCTTGCTTTATGGAGTCTCGGCGAATTTTGAAGTTCCGACTTCTTGGTCATTGGCGGTTTTCTCCAGCAGCTTTGCGTGCAGCGGGCTCGTTAGACTTTGTGATTACGCCAAATCTCGACATGCTATCAAATTTCATTTTTTTTCTTATCGAGCCCAATGAGTCAACCTCTAGCAACAATTCGTACACGATTCCGGGTTGTTGCACAGAGTCTACGCTGCAGAAAGCCACATTTTAGCTCAAAACCCCAAAAATTCTCGAACTCCACTAATTTTCGAAAAATGCCCAAAATTTTTCTAACGTGTTCAAAAATCAAACAGTTTGTGCGTAGTTGTAGCACGCATTGTGCTCTGTATAGTAGAAAAATTCGCGTGCGCTACATTCAAAAAGGGTGAATTCATGAAAGAAGTTGTAAATCTTAGTTTGCAGCCTAATATTATTGCATTCTTCAAGATACAGTAATTTTTTCTCAAGATAAAAATTTATGCTTTCAAATTTATGTCTTGAAGCACTACTTGTCAGACGTCCGCTGGGGGGAGGAGGGGGGGGGGGATAAACAGATTGTTTTGGGAAACACCTGCTGTACTTGTACTTTTCCTTCATTGATTATACAGGGGGTCCAAAAAAAAGGGAACACTGTTTGATTGCTGATAATTCCCTTGCTTTCATGTCTTTCACCGAGCTTAAGGCACATTCTATAGAGCAAGGGTTATCTTATCTTTAGATTTATAGTATGGAGCGAATCGTCGATTGCTCTTCATTAGTGGGATTACGGTAGAAACTTCGACACAGATTTTAGGCCATTGGAGGCCATATTTTCCTCGGAACAAAACCAAACAAGCCAAAGACTTTTACAGTATGGTAAGGGTAGCCCCTGAGTTCAAATATGAAATTTCCACTTTACTATGGTGCTTCTTTACAAAGCTATCCCAGGTAAACCGTAATATTGAATTTCCAGCACTTGTCAGGAATGTGACTACACCGTCAAAAAAGCTGAAAACACTCGTAAAAAGTTGTGTAGTGGAATCAGCGTGCGCGAAAACCCTAATACACGATTTTTCAGATTTTTTGAAAATAATTTTGTCAAGTGGCATATTTCACAATAAATCTGCATGCTAGAAGTTCATACCGTAATCCTACAGTGACGAACAGCTATCGGTGATTTGCTCCCTACTACAAATCTAAGTTGAACCTCGCTCTTCAGAATGGCGCTTCAAGCTCTGCGAAAGATAAGACATGAATGCAACGGAGTTATTAACGAACAAATAGTGTTCACATTTTTTTGAGAAACCCTGTATATTTAAACGATAGAAAATAAAGAATTCGGCGTTTTCACTACCCTCTGCGGGGATGCACCAAACGCGCACTACTTTCTAGTCGGAGGGGGAGTTGTATGCGTGCGAGCCTTTTGCACTTTTTTGAACGCAAAGACTTTCAAAGAGTCATTTTAAGCATTCCCCAAAAAACATGGGAGTATTCTCGTACAAAGTGTCTTTCAGAGACCAGCACATGTTTGAATTACAAGGAGTTGGACAAGGTAAAATAAATGTTGAAAAATTGGAAACTCAAGCTATTACAAAAAGAATCTTCGAGAATGCGGAAGCTAGTAATTCCTTATCAAGTGTGCCCAAGGAGCTTGTCTATCGTAATTCTCTAAATCGTATTAAATCTAATAAATAAATCCAAGAACTCCACAAACTTCCACTGGGACTCAACAATCAAAATAAGTACATGTACCGCTTTGGTAAATAAAACAACTATTAGAGCACATAAGAGATAGATAAATACGTGGTGGATAAAAACCGAAGCAGAGCATTTTATTCGCTAATTCAGTAGTGACTTAGCGAATCTTTAGTAGTAGAGCATTCATAGCACTATTAAAGGCAGCGTCCGGGCAAAATTTCGCCTCTCATGTTTCTGCCATTCTGGGGCCTTTCCGTGGCCCTGATTACAGTTGTAAAGTCCAAATTGTTCAAAACCCTCAAAAAACCCGGTTCTTGGGGACCCTCTCTTCAAGGAGCGGACGTTCGAAATTGCTCGTCCTCATCGTCATGCCAGCGGGAGGAGCTGCAACTGCACGGATGCGGTTGCATTGCAGTGTGCAGTGCAACTGCAATGCAACCGCACACCTGCGTAAGCGCTTGTCCTCAGGGGTGGTTTGTGATAAGAAGGGGCGGCTTGTGATACGTATCACAGGCCCGTATCTCCTTTTAGAGGGCACGTCAAAGGATCGGACCAACGCAGATAGGATACTCTTGGGCCCTCTTTACAACTATGTGCTAAGCTGGGTGGATGGATCTTGCCTGGGAGCTGCCTTTGAATAGATCTGCTCAATCCAAGCGCCAAGTACTTACGTTGAAGCCCTTCAGGATCTTATCTATAAAGCTTGGATGTGAGACTCATTAAAATGTTCAAGTGGCACGTTCAGCGAACCACCTCTTGTGGAATTAACGTTGTTGTTGAAAACGGTACCTGAAATCATTGTGCAATTCAAAGCAGTTTTACATACCCAGTGAACAAAAGCTTTCCTCAAAGCGTTTTTCTCAGTCTAACGAATTTTGGGGCTCCAAAATACAACATAAAAAAGCAAAGTAGGTACGGTTTAAGGCAACGGCTAGAGGAGAAGTATCCTTGTCCGAATGCTGATGAGCACAAGACCCTCCAAGTACATAGTATTTCAAAGGCCACTTTCCGGCTCATGTGTTAAAATGAATGCGTGCTTCGGACGCTCATTTACACTCTATAATACTAATGACTTTATTCTACACATTGTCGCTTTTTCTTGACTAGAAATAAGAATACTCAAGTTTTTCATACATAGTATTTCGAAGATGAAAATGTATTTTGAAGATGCTAGATTGATAGATTAATTTTACACAAGTATAGTTTTGATACAAGACTTTGTCTGTAAAACTTTAGGCTTCATCCGTTTTTAGGGCATGCGTTCGAAGATATCAAATTTAGTTTCTTTCCTCTGGGTTTTCGTGCTGATTTAGTCAGTAAAAGCAAATTATGAAAGGCTCAGCTGCATTGTAAGAACGGTGCAGCATTGTTCTGAAAAAAACTTGAGAGTTCGATTTCTAATCAAGCAAAAAAGCAACGGTATTGAAAATCATGTATAGAGCCACGCACTCCCAAAAAATTTTTCGGGCGTGGCTAACGTCACGCACCATCAACTGAAAGAAATTAATTCTCAGAAAAAATTCTCACTGTCACATGTGAATTGTAAAAGATGTTCTCGGCAACAATTCACTTTCTGTCGCCTTCTACTATGGTTAAGTCTCTCACCGGATAGAAATGATTTGCAAAAAATTGCTT